TGGTTGTCTGTCTCTAAGTGTAGCCCTGTGATAGACTGGTTACCTGTCCAGGTGAACCTGCCTTCACCCTGAGTCAGCTGGGATAGGCTCCGCCCCCCAGAGAGGACGAAGCAGCGTATAGAAAATGGATGGCTGGACATTAAACAGCTGTTCTTTAACAGATAAAGCTTTTTTCAAGATAATAATTATCTTTTATTGAGGAAAACATTTTTTTTTAAATACAAATGTCGCCTGTAGTTCCATTAGATAAATGACAGATTATCACCTGAAGAATAAAAGAAAAATACTATAAATATAATGTATATAAAACAGTCTGTATTTTAACATGATAACTGTTACACTGTGAAAATTAATACATAAAAATGCTAAAAATCTGTCAGCAAGGTGCCAGAAACAAACAGGTTAAAATGGGAGAATACTGTGTTGTTCAATAAAAACCTGTGAAAATGATGGCAGATATCTGTAAAATAACTAGATTTTAGGTGATTTAAATACAATAAAACTGTATAATTGCAGTCACATGTTGCAAAGGAACAGATTTTAATTTGTAATTCATTATATATTTACAGTTTTGACCTTCTTTGTTGTTGTTGTTGTTTTTACAGGTAATTAATGAATGCTTTTATTTTGTGATTTGACTGGAAATGATCTGCGGTTTAACAGAATCTCCTCCTTGTTCTGTGAATCGCTCTGACAATGGAAACAACAGACTGATGACTTACTGGAAAGTCAGACCTCTGAGCTGACATCTGTGCACATCTGGAAATCAGTTTTAAATCACTGTGTCCTCGTGTGAAAAGGCTTTTCTCACTTTCTGGCTGGTAGTTATTAAACTACAAAGAGACTAAAGAGACTCATACTGGGCAGGATTGCTACTGAAACAACACATCATCAGTAGGGTACAACTAACCTGTCTCACCGCGGTCTTCGGTCATCAGGTGAGACAGGCGGAACAGGTGAGACAGACGGAACAGGTGAGACTCTCTGAAAAAGAAACTCTGAGGACCGTGGCTGAAACAAACAGCGATGTGATGTAATGTCCTGTACAGAGAGCTGGTTGGCTGCTGTCCTGATGACATCATCGGAGACACAAACAGCCGTCAGAGTTTCCTCAGTAACAAAACAACTTTCTGTGGAAAAGCTGGAATTTTTCTTCACTGAGGTTCATGTTTCTCTGCAACATAAAGTCCTGCAGCTCTGTGGACCCACAACATGAAGGAGGAGAGAGAACTCAGAGACGTCTTCTGTCAGCAGGACTCAGAACCATGGAGACCAGAGAGAAAGAACATTTCTTTGATTATTTATTTCATGTAAATGTAAAATCCATGAACCAACATACTTCCAGATGTTAAACCCTGAAGCTCATGTGGTCTCCTCGTCCTGCAGATGTTGAACTATCTCCATGTTCCAGACTTCTCCTCTCTGCTCATCA